CCTGGAGAAATTGTCTGCTCATGTCTTGGACAGGCATGCTCTTCGCTGGATAAAAAACTGGCTGGATATCCAAACCCAAAGAGTGTTGGTGAACGAAGTTAAATCCATTTGGCAGTTGATCACAAATGGTGTTCCTCAGGGCTCAGTACTGGGGCCAGTTCTGTTTAATATCTTAATCAATGATCTCGATGAGGGGATTAAGTGCACCCTCAAAAAGTTTGCAGATGACAAGTTGAGTAAGAGTACTGATCTGCTTGAGAGTAGAGGGATCTGGACAGGTAGCATCAATGGGCCAAGGCCAGTATGTATGAGATTCAACAAGGCCAAGTGTCAAATCCTGCACTTGGGTCACAACAACCCCAGGAAGCCTTACAGACTTAGGGAAGAGCGACACCTGGCAGAAAAGGATCTGGGAGTGCTGGTCAACAGCTGGTTGAACATGAGCCAGCAGTGTGCCCAGGTGGCCAAGAAGGCCAAGGGCATCCTGGCCTGGATCGGCAACAGTGTGTCCAGCAGGAGCAGGGATATCCCCCTGTACTTGGCATTGTTAAGGCCACACCTTGAATCCTGTATTCAGTTTTGGGCCCCTCCCTACAGGAAAGACACTGAGGTGCTGGAGTGTATCCAGTGAAGAGCAACGAAGCTGGTGAAGGGTCTAGAGATCAAGTCTTATGAGGAGCAGCTGAGGGAACCGGAGTCGTTCAACTTGGGGCAAAGGAGGCTGAGGAGAGACCTTATCACTCTCTACCGCTACCTGAAAGGAGGTTGTAGCAAGGTGGGGGGTTGATATTTTGGTCTCTTCTCCCATGTAACAAGTGATAGGACAAGAAGAAAAGGCTTCAGGTTGCATCAGAGGAGATTTAGATTAGACTTTAGGAAAAATTTCTTCACCAAAAACGTGGTCAAGCATTGGAACAGGCTGCCTGGGCAGGTGGTGGAGTCACCACCCCTGGAGGGGGTCTACAGACATGTAGATGTGGTGCTTAGGACGACGGTTTAGTGGCACTCATCACAAGGTTAACAGTTCGGCTCGGTCTTAAAGGTTGTTTCCAGCCTAAATAATTCTATTTCTATAATGTCCTTATTGTAGACCCTGCTTCTAAAAAGTCCAGGCAACAAGGGCCAGTGATTTTTGTCAAGTATTTTGAAGCAAAAACACTTGCAGGTTTCAAATGGGAACTCTGTGCCAAGCAGTGCACCTGGAAAAGAAGGGGGAACCAGACATAAAGGCCAATGATGCCTTCACTGGTCGGACAAATCCGAGGGATCTGTATATTCAACTAAGGAAACAAACCAAGCCCTAGCACCCAATACCGTACCTAGAAGAGCTACCTTTTCACCAGATTAAAATAATTTTGCAGTCACTGCAATGAGCAGAATTATTTGACCACTTACTAAAACCATTATCTGGTAAGAAAATCCATCACAAAAGGTTATTGCCTTCTCAAACACCATGTCATCCACATCAGCATCTTTAAACAAGAGAATAGGAGCTCCCATCTGACAGGTGCCACCTGGAGCCCTGGAAATCATATACCGTTCTCTCACTGTGTTAAATCCCACAGCACTTTACAAGGAAGAAAAGCACTACTCTTGCTTGTGTGAGGATGGATCAATTGCTGGTTTTTTCTCTGGGACAAGTGCTTCAATTTTCCTTCGCATATATGGGGTTTTTTTAGCTTAAACCATCTACCATTTATATGAAATTAGAGACCAGAGTGTTTTGATAAGAGTCTCTGAAATTAATTTTGGGAGATGTCTTTTCCATTTGATCTTTAGAAGGATCTGATGGCTGGGATTGTCCCAACAGCAAGGAGCAAGAGCGAAGCCCAAAGCTTCTGCAGCTCCTTCCAGGTCCTGCGGAGATGAAGGTATCACCAAACAGCCACCACACATCCTCTCAAGTCTTGTCCCAGCAAAGGCTGGGAGAGCAAAACACTGTCAGGAACAAACTGCCAGCGAACAGTATAGATTCAACGCAGACAGGCCCCACAACAACCAGTCAGCATATTCACCCCGCAGAACAAAGTTCGACTCCTTGAGCTAGTAGAGACACATCTTCATAGACCTACATGGAGAAACACGGCTCTGACCCTGGAACGTTTTGGTCCCGGAGCCATACAGCTGCATTCCCATGGTACTGCGCTGCAGTTTGTAACATACAGTAAGTCTGAGCAGTTAAGACTTTTCATTATGGGGGAGGTGCCTCAGAAACAGATTCGGGAACTTCTGGCTTGGCTGCTAGTCTAAGCTTGGAGGCCTCAGTCAGCAGAGTAGGTATGTTTCAACACAAGCAGCTGAACTCAAAAGCTGTATAAAAGGTGGCATTTTGAGAAGAAATTCCAAAATGCTGAGGATGTCCTCCTCCAGGAAAGGAGGTCAATCTTTTATAGTTCGAGAGCCTAATTTGGGCAAGGAAGTAAGGTAGATAATAATTTGCAGTTAAAGGAAAAATGTGCTTCTTGTTACATTTGAAATTACAGCAACATACAGTCCTAAATGTACTGGACCATAAATCTAGAACTACCATATGGCATGTAGAATGTTTGTGCTGAACTCACAGAATTCGCTCGCAATGCTGATAGCTTTTTCTGCATGTAATATTTGCTTTATTTCATTTAACAGCAATTGCTCTTTAATTAATATGCAATTAATTCCATATTAAAGAAAAAAATAGGATTTTTATTCTTTCCTGGCAAAGAAGTAAGAACCAGGCTGTGAAAGGATGATGCCATAATTGATCTTGATTTGAATTTTTTAATAACTTAAGCACTACCTGGTTACATTTAATTTAGGAGTGTTTTCTTCAGCAGCTGTGAGTAGCAGTATTGGGTCAACCACAGCTGTTTTGTTTTTATTTTGAGGCAGCATCAACGCAGAGTGATCATGAAACAACAACCTGAGACATATTTTTATAAGAAAGAACAATGACCAGAAACCTCCGCACAACTCACTAACTACAGAAGATATCTCATTTATTTAATCAGTTAATTTTAAATTAATAACATTTGTTAACTCTTTGCATATGTATGCAGCACATTCAACATAATTTTACATAACTTGTATCTTTAAAGTGTTGCAATTCATTACTATCAAAATGCAGTTTGACACAAAGTGAGGAGGGGAAAAAAGGAAACAAAGACTAGTCAGCATTTCTACTGTCATAATGTAAAAAATTAGAAATCTAACTAATCACCTAAGAAGCTGTAAAGTTTTTTAAAAGTGAATACAGTGCACTTTTATGAATAGTCAGAAGGAAGAACCAAATATAATGTAAAAGTTCTATCTAGTTGCAAATCTCTATTTTAAGGGTTACAAAGTGAGGAGAACCAATCTTTCAACAAATATCTCTAGCCTATCACTTATAATAAACAATAATTTAAATCAACTGTTTCACCTGTATCTCTTCAAATCAGCAACTTCATATAAACTTGATATCCACACTTGAAACAAAATATAGAAACTGCAAAGTTTCAGACAACAAAATGCAAACTGCAGAGTAACAGTTTTAAGACTCTTCAAAAAACACTCCATAGTGAAGAAGCAGGCAGAACGCAGGCTGCTTTGGAATTCTTGTTTAGCCTGTGTATTTCTCAAGCTATTGGGTAAAAAAAAAGCAAGGATTTCAGAATCTTATATGCCATATAAATACTCCTTTTATAGGACCCAAAGAATTAAGCCATCTAGTTCCAACCACCCCATGGCGTGGCGGGTGGAACTAGATGATCTTTAAGGTCCCTTCCAAACCTGACAATTCTATGATTCTATGAAAACTCTGTAGAAGACTTACACATAAGACAAAGTTGGGGTAATCCTTATAAGGAACAGGCAAGGGAAGCCAGCTAACTTCTGAAATTACCACTACCTGGTGTGAGGGAACCCCCACCCTAACAGGGATAACAGATTACATCCAGAGCCACAAACATTCAACTGAATTCTGCCCAAACCCAGTAATAAAAAAAATATTGAAAAAACAAAGTCATTACAGATAAAAGGGTAATTTAGCATTGGTTTAGCCATCACAGCGTTGAACTACAGTGAAGCGTTTTACAATGACCAGTTTTGATTTGCAATGTAAATGGCTTTTGAAGCTATGTGAGTACAAATTGTTACAGCAATGACTTGTGGAACAGTATCAAAAGAACATCAAGCACAGACTAGATTCTTTCTCGGGAACACCAGATGAGGGTATCCAGGAATATCCATCTTTTTTTAACCTAAGAAAACACAGCTGGCCTCACCTAGGACACTGACAGTAGGGTATTACAGGGTATATATATTTTTTTTTAAAGTCAAAACTAAATTACGTGGAATTCTGAAACAAGTTTGGCCATTAACACAGGGAGAGGCACAGCTCAAGGCAAACTACACCATGGTAGTCAAAACAAATAAAAGGTGCATAGATGAAAGCAAGTGAAAAGGGGAATGGCAACTGGAGAAAGAATGGAAAAAGGCAACTTTCCTCCTTTATTCCACTTTAAAGGCAGAGCTATGTAAGTATTCTTCAGGCAACAGCATGAAGAATAATTTCATCTGGACCACTCCTAGTTACACTACAGCCTTGTATTAAGACCTGAAATTAAAGCAAAAGCTGATACTGCCAACACATGTCAGGTATTCCACAGTACACCTGCAAAGGCCACCTGGCCTCGTGACCAGCAGACACACGCAGGCAGTACGGTTGCTGTCTGACTTAAATAGGTAGCTGAAACACATTAATTTCACAGGCTCTTCCTGACTCAAAAAAACCCAAGGATGCTCCACGAATTGCTCACCGAAAAAATACAAAGAATCAAAGCCTGGTATTTGCCTGGCATTGTTACGGAATAACAATGGGGTAATACTAATTAATCAATCTACCCCCACAAAAAACTTACAGTTAAATATATTACGAATATATTACGAATTGAGAGCTTATTACGAATTGAGAGCTTAACATATCAAAAGTTCAGAAATATCATAACCGCTTCAAAAGAGTCACAGCCTATCAGTATAAAGGAAGAATATAAAACTATTTTATTGACCACTGTTCACCAGTATTTACAATAAAGTAAACAATATACAGTCTGATAACATTCAAATTACTACAAAGTTAGCTTTCACTTGGTCTTCTTGAGGCCAAGTGATCCCAATTACTAAAAAGAATGATTCTACAGGTTTAAAGGGCTAGGTCTGGGTAAAGAAGATACATGCACATCAATAGTATAGAAGACTACAAAACATCTGTGAGTTTGTTTAGACATTCATTATGATTCTGTAATAACTATGGAAGTTTATGAATGTTTTATAAAAGCTTTTACCTAATATGGAGGAAGTAGTAGTATCAAATGCTCTCTTGTGATAACTGAAACAAGTTGCAGAAAGCTTTTATTTACTTGCTGTTGATGCAAAACATACTACTTCAAAAAAATATCAAATTTGAATCTTGTTAGAATGTATGCTTCTCACATTGCTAATAAATCAAATTTCAGGTTTTAATATCCATATATATAAAAAAGCAATGCAAACAATTATTGTGCTTCATCTTCTGGGCATGAATGCCAAGTTAGTCGCTCTTCATAAAATGCGATTACGATCTGAGGACACTTCACATTTGCTTCTTTGGCCAGCACCAGATCTGCCTCATCAGAGTCTTTCCTGATGCAGAAGAGAGAGGGATTGAAGAAAATGCATAATCATTAATTCAGTAAATTTTGCAGCTCTTGCTAGGTCCTGAGCTCTGAAAACAATGTCAGCTAGAAAACAAGTTTTCAGCATATCTTTCATTATAGCTATGAAGAACTCCTATCCTAATGCCAAGGTTTCATAGTTCCATCTTCCTTCCCTTCCCATATTTTTTTCTGTCAGGAAGGAAAACATTATTCAAAGGAAACTATTTACACAATTACCTACTGCATTATGCAATGAAATAAGTAAAACTTTTTTGTAATTTTGTCTTTTAAAGCACAATCAAAACTTCAAAGTGAGACTTTTAAAACTCAATATCATTAGTCTTAAGAGGTGATACTTGCATCTCAATTATATTTACTGTTCATGCAAGTAACTGGCTGTATTTCATATCGGTACTCTTAATGCTGTCCCAAGCTAAAAAAACAAATAAATCAAACTTTCCAGTCTGACATGCTTCAGATGCCATTTCCAAGTGTATGCTGCCTTTACAAGTCAGTTTTGTGCATACATATTCATATCTAGTTTGCTGCCTACAATCAGTTATGAAAAACTAATCAACTGCAACTGAACTAAACATAAAAAGCACTTCTTGTGCATTTCCTTTGTGTTTGATTCTGCCAATTATCACTACAGAAATTCAAATACTCACAATCTGTGTTTTGCAACTCTTGAAGTTTCACACAAAATTATCAGAGAACTTGAAAAACACTAATCTTCAGCAGTCCAGGCACATCACATGACAAATCATTTCTCTGGAGACATTCAGTTTGACTCCACTCAGAAAATCATACCCTCCTCAAAGGCTGTGGAAAGCTATCACTCTTCTCATCCCACTACTATAAGAGAACTGACTCCCAGCAAATGTTAATTCAATCTCTTATATTCTCAACACTGGGAGAAAAGAACTAATTTTATCCTCCTTGTTCACAAGGCAAGAAGTCCTTCTGTCAACACCGCAGCTAATGAAGCTGGTCTCCACTTACCCTCCCAACAACACAATCACCCATACCGATAAGCCTCTCTTTTATAATGTTTATTTCTCACCTCAGCCTTGGCTTCCTCTACTAGTTGCTTCCAATTCCACTTGGTTGCACGTAGAGCAGCTGGCACCACGGTTGGTTAAATAGCTGGCTGTCCAGCAGCTGCCTTCTGCTTACTGAAACCTGTGAAGCTGGATTTCTGCCTGCCATTCCCTCAGCAAAAACACTACAGAGATTCAGCTTTTTCATACATGTCAATTTCCCCGTATTTTATCAGAATTCACCTTTCAAATTTCCACTTCTGTAAAACTGAAACAATGGAAACTGAAGATATTTTGGGTTTTGAAGGAAGAGGGACTCATTACTAATCGATTACAGAATCCTTGTTTTTCTAAGAATACAAGGTTAATAAGTGGACTACCAGCTTCTCTGACTTACTCTTGAAATTAAGTTTTCTCATTAGCCTAAATGCAACTGCCTGTCCTCCCTTTACATGGATGAAAACTGTGTTAAGACTTACCATTTCATGAGGAACATAAGCTCTCCACTGCTATCCGTAGCCCCAATTATCCGTTCCGGATCAAGACCCCTTGCAAACCCTCTTGGTTTATCGACCTGTTGAATAAGTTAAAAGATTGTTATCTAGTTTAAGATAAAATTCTATTTCGACATTAGAGCTAGATATACACATTCCTGTGTATATATATATACACACACATATATCACAACAAAAATATAACTTTACACAATTATAAAAGCTATAATTACATATAATTTTGTGAAGATTACATTAATTTTATTTTCTCATGACTGATCTTCAGGATGAGTCATTCAGATGGAGAGTAACAATGAAGGAATTTTACATCCATGTTTCTAGCATTTATTTCTGAAAACCCAATAGATGAAACAAGTGATCTAAAAATCCTTATAGTAAATAAACAAACAAGTACGGCCAGTAAAAGCAACAAAATAGGCAAAGCAAAAATGCACTTCTGGACGTGAGAAAAACGCATCCTTTTCAGCAAAACAAAAGACTTGGGTTGGCTTAAGCCAATTGTGAAACTGTACCCTCAGGGAACACCTTAACTCTTCACTGAGATCGCATTGGTGGTAAGGAATATCACAACTATTTCCCAAATTAGTTCCTCCAGATTCACAATATCCTTTTTGAGACAGTGACCACTACTGAACCAGATGAAGATACACAATTGACTTTAAAGAGGAACTAAAATATTCTCTGTGTTATTAACAATTATTCCTTCTGATGCCTTCCAACTTTTTTGACAGTAACCACACACCCAGTAAACAGTTAACCACTGATGCTGCCAACCAGTTTCATTTCAAATTGCTAGTCTGAAAGTTTATGGAGAAAAATGTGAACTACTGAGCACATTATATTTGCATTGTTACACTTATCAGCACTGAGTTTCTCATGCTGTTCGTTCACTTAAATTGCAGGAGAGACCCAGACCTTTAAGAAAAGGTAGGCTTTACTCAGCCACCCTTTCTACTCCCACTCCACCATCATTTCTCTTCCTAATCTAAGTAACTGCCCGGCCTTCACATTTCGGCGTCTTGCCACTCACCTATTTAATATCTTACACTAAATATGAAAGCCAAAACAGAACGTCATCTTTGTTCCATTCCATTCCATCCCATCCACTTAATATCATGCATAGGTAACTCTCAGCCAGTCTTACTTTCAATTTTTCAGTAAGCATCATGGGACAATGCAAGAACTTTTAGTCATCATGTTAATCAATCATCTTTTACGCACCATCTGGATTGTCTCATTAACCATCGTGAACGGTTAGCTTTCTCAAACCACAGTTCTAGATGCTGTGTGATTTTTATAGCTTTAAATCCAAGTTTGGTCTCATTCTCAAAGTCACAACTGGATTTTTGGGGGACAGGGATAGAGATGTAGGGAAGAAACGCAGGAAAAACAAAGCACATGAACATATACTTACAGAATCACGCTTTTTCTTTGATTTACTATCATCAGATTCACTATCTGACAAAGATTTTCTTTTGGCACCATCTGTTTTTTCTTTACCAGCTTTCTGAGAGTTCAGAAAAGCTTCGATTAGCTCTGGACAATCTAAGTTTTCTTCCGGTTCCCATGTGTTGTCAGCACTGAAACATACACATATTTATGTAAAACTAGGAAAAGAAAAATGTAAAACTAGCCACATGGCTCATCTTAAGCATGTTATTTTTTTTCTCATTATGAAAGGTAGGTTTCTTGAACTTAAGGATGCTTATCTTTCCATCTTTAGTAACCTTCATGTACTGCATCTGATGGCTGAAAAAACTATGCTCTGCTATTGCCGAAAAGCAATGCTCTGAAACTGGAGATACAGAACAAGCAGCAGGTCCAGGTGGGATCACAGGAGTTAAAGTAAGCAATCTTCACTCTACCAAAACCTACCCATCCATTTAAACTGACTCCCTTCACTCGTTCCTCTAAAGATTGTCAATGCAAACTAACTATATGACACGAGCACCAAGACTTCTGGAGAACAGAACATACAGAACACTCACTATGAAAACCTTAAGTATATATGTCCAAACTTCTGTATATGAGGAATACTCCTAAAAGTTGTCTTCAGGCACTGAGCTCAACTATACCTAGAACAGTCGTGTGGCGTTAGCATTAGGAAGGCCAAGACACAGCTGGAGCTGAACTTGGCAAGGGATGCAAAGAATATTAAGGTTTTCTACAGGTATGTCAACCAGAAAAGGAAGGTCAAAGAAAGCACAATCCCTTTGATGAGCAAGACTGGCAAGCCAGTAACAACAGACGAGGAGAAAGCACTTGAATTTTTTTTTATTCTAGTATAAACTATTTTCAGTTACAAAAACACTTTTACAACTTCAGACCAGACCTCAAATACTAAACACATTATGTTTTACATTTATGCACTTATCACTACAGGAACCCGAGGTGATAGAACGCAAAACGTTGCAACGCAATCACTTCGGTAGGTATGCAACCACAGCATGACTGTGTATGCAACCACTTCTGTTCATATGCTAGGTGTATCACCATTTTTCAGCTAGTGAAGTAGTCTGCCACAAAGAGTCATGGGAGGGAGGAGGCACAACCATGTGCCTTTTTGAACAATCAACTTAAGCCCATTTAAGGTTTTCTTGTGCTTCCGTAAATTCTGGGAAAAAGACTCAAAAGATACCTTTCAGGTATGCCTAATGAAGGCAACCATGCCACAGAATTCCTTAGGCAAATTCACCTAATTTCAGAGCAGCTCAGAAAAGTGATTAACAAGCAAACTATCTCCTTCAAATTCATTGCTTTGGAGCTGCCTACAGTTGAAATCCCTGCAAAATTTCTTACTTGGAAGTAACATTCATTCCATCACATATACAACAGCTGTCAGTCTCACTTACCTTGATGGACACTGACACAAGCTACATCAAAGAACAGTGTTATAAGAATGATGACTAAGGACTTGGTAAAAGTCTTGGAACACTTACGTAGCACAAATACTAAGCTACATATCTACTTTGTTTTCATAGTTGACGACTCCACCTGAATATGCATTTATGCATGTCCTTCCCTTGACGCTCTTTAAGATGTGTCCCCATTATCCAATCCTCTCTCTGTGTAGCTATTTCAAATAAACGGTCAGCATTTAGCATTCTATCAGGAAAAAAAAAATAACAGGTAATGCCTTACTCTGTAAATCCTTTCCACTTCAAGTAGTATTCCACCTTTCCATTTACAACACGTCTGTCCAGGACTTTCTCCACAACAAATTCTTCAGGCTCTGCCTCTTCAACCTTTTTACCTTTGCCATTCTGTTTCTTTCCCATTTTGTGCTACAAAAGAAATTCAGAATAACATTATTCATTCTTTTGCTTTACACAGTTACTTCACTGGCCAAAACCAACTTTGCTCAGTAAAGAGCAAAGAATTATGTACTTATTCACACTAAAGCCAGAAGCTCAGACTCCTTTTACATTAGGGCATGTGGTCAGGTAACCTGAGCAAGACATGTTAATGTTCTGGGTTTTTTCAGTTGCTTAATGAGATACCCAACACCAGTTTTTAAAAAGGTGAAATATTTTTGTCCATACACTCAGTGTCTCTACTCCCTTTATAAACTTCTCAGCGCTACATGCTCAAAATTTTAGGAAGCTTCTAAAAGTTAACTCTATGCCTCTGAAAAGGCAGAGGACAAGAAACAGTGTAAGGCAGAAGTAAAGAAAAGTAATAAGGGAACTGTGAAAACACGTAAAACAGAAATGGGAAAGTTCTCAAAAAAGGTGGCTAATACCCTTTCAAAAAAAATGGGAGCAATGTTTATGATGCATTGCTACAATAAGCAAAATACTCAACAATAACCCGTAACTACTGAAAAGGATGCATGCTAGGAGCATTCCATTACTGGGGTCCCTTCTCATTCTTAGCCACGCACCGATGTAACGTGCATTCAGATAGATGCCACAAAGGTGCAAAAAATTTAAGACAGCTACACTTAAGTACAGCACTGAACACGTAAATGAAATATTTTACTAACTTAAAAAACTTTAAAAGTGTTTTAAGCTTACATTTGATACTTCAAATGATATTCTTTAAGTTCTTAGAATAAATATTACATCCACATCATCCTCAAGGCATTCCCAGTTTAATAAGGCACAATTAAATAGTAATAGAAGGACATATTTCAAAATTTCCTTGTTTGTAATTAAAAAGGTCGGAACAAGCCTATCATGTCGTTGTATCATGGAGCGCTAGCAGACCAAAAGCAGTTTGCTTGTCATTCTCGACTGCACTTTGTAAGGAAATTGTTAAAGTGGCAGCCATAGACTAATGGGAGCTGTAGTAAGCTCCTAAAACATAGAGCCATGCAGCACCCTACATCAAAGTGGACAGAACCAATTTCTCACTAATGCACTTCCTATAAAACTGAAAACAGATAAGCAAAAATCACAGAGCATCTCTACGAGCTTGATGGCCTTTCTATAGTCCTCTCCAGAACCAACGCTGGCTAGTTTGAAACCACTGCTAAGCAATTTTGAAACTGTCAAATTTCTGGACTTCGGAGAATTTTGGCTTGATGTGGTGAAAAGTAAAAAAATGTATGTTAGACACAAGAAAAATCTCTCTTCTTTCTGTGAACTGAGGATTTGAAGCTGTTTTTTTTCCTTCCAATGCCCTATCTTTGTGCCCCTTATTATTTTTCATAATTAATTATTCCTTCTCTCCTCAAAATAGCTTTACTCTGGTTAGCAACTCATACATTGAAGGTGAGAACAATGAAAAGCAGGGAAAGTTTCCAGTTTCTCTTTCAAACAGCAAGTTTCTGTATAGGATTATATCTCATGTGACATTTGATTTGGAAGCACAGAAGAAAGATTACCTAAAACAGAGCATGTATTTCCGATTACTTTTAACTGCCTGCCTATCCCAGGTGTATTTTGACCACAGCATTCATGTCTGAAAAGTGTCAACTTAAGCACACTGGCTTTTTTTGCCTCCACAGGAAAAAGAATGTAAGACTGAAATTAAAGGAAAACAAAAACATGAAGATGTCCAACACTTCAATGGAGGCAGCTTCTTTCAAGAAATGGAATTGTTTAAAGAAAGAAAGGGGTAAAGATGAGGAAAACAAACAAACAAAAAAAGCAGCAGAGGGGGGAAAAAAAAAAAGACACAGACTCACTATACCATAGTAATAACATTATAATTACTGGTGATGAGGCAAGCAGGCTACAAGTGGGGAACATCTCCATCTGTGTTCTCCGCTGGACTAAAATTCTTTGATTCAATGGAAGATTGTTTCCTGGTACTCTTTTCGGCTTCACTAATTCTTGTCACTTAAAGACAAATATTTTGGATTTCTGTATCAAAGCAACATTTTTTTTAACTTTCTAAGACATAAGTATCTATATAATCTTCCACAGAAGAAAATTAATGTCAGAGGGGTCTGTATTTTTTCTTGAGGTGCAGTAAGAAATAACAAAATAAGAGAGTACATTGCTTTTTGTTTTAAATATTAAGAGATTTAATTAGGTCTTGTGTGCATCAGCACTGCTTTCCACACTCTTGAGCCTTTCCAACCTAATAAAATAATGCTTGATTGCAAAGCCTGCAGAAATACTGAACATTTGTTAAAAATCCGTACATTCTGAGATTACACAAGCCAACGTAAATCTGGGTGCACAAGTGAATGTGGCACCTTACTGAAGTTAAAGGGTACCAAATACCCACTGGACCCCTTGTTCTAGGGCTGCACGTTTTGAGCTGTAACTTGGGCATTTGACCCCTGAACGCTCACCTATGGTTCATTTCCTTTTCTGCATTCAGAAGTCACTTATGACAGATGCAGATTTGAGAATAATCACTCTTTCTTTAAGGGGCAAGATTAAAACATTGGCGTGACACTGCGGTGAAGGGTTTTAACATGCAAGAGGTAACAAAATCGGAATTACAGTTCCAGAGTCTCGCTATCCCTTAATACATTTAGGTTTTGCATGCAAATACATAATGAAGCAGAATTAGTTATGGTTCCCATGGGAACCATAACTGATTTTTCTGACCTGTGCAGCAAAATTCTCAACATCATCAAAAGATTAAAAACACTGCATTCACAGATTCCTTCCTCTCCCTGAGGCATCTCCTCCCTAGGCTAGATAATTCCTTCTCTTCCTCAAATTAGGGAAAAGCGGGCAATCAGTTATTAATGGAAAGTTCTGACATTCACCTTGGTGAAATCTTTTAAAGTAGTTTGCTATCATATGGTACAAAGGAAGCACTCCATTGCACTACTAAGGCAGGAGTTAATACAAGTTTTTAATATATCACGATCTGGGTCAATCAGTAACCATTTCAGTAAATTTAAGAGCAGGCCTTTTGAGTGCATTATGAATCAGTTGTTCTGCTATCCAAATTTTGAACTGTACACATGTATTTTTGTTTACTTCCCCACCTCAACCTCAGATGCATCTCGCACTATACTTTTTCGATTCTGTCTTTCACAAAACTATCTATGGTTATTAGTTGAGTGGTAGCCAGCAACCAACTGCTCTTAGAAGTCCGTATTTTAATGTCAAGCAAAGCTTTACAGGACTTGAGATCCATGAATGCATCATTAAAACGGTCCAGGAGGGGTTGACATCTGATAATCTCTGCTCCTATGAAATTCAAAGAAACTGTTATTTGTTAAAAATCATTTCAAAAGGCATCTTAACTACGCCACATCATTTCCCAATAATGTTTTCATCTGTAAAGACTGCCTTTTCTCAGGCAATTAGTTTTTCCCAAATACAATGGGAGAAATTAAATGAATACATGATTTGGATTTTACTTTTTACATATATGATGAATTACATGGTATGCTGAATGGAGGCTAAAAAATCCTTAGTGTTTTCTATTGCAGGACAGATGAAACAGTGTAGAGTCCTTCAGTAATTTTTTCCCAACAAGCCTCTTTAGAAATGGCAGATTTATTAAAGCCAAAGTTAATGTCCTTTCTGGTAGCCTTACTTTCTGGATCTGAAATTTTGGTCAGAATAATGCTGGGGAGGGGAGATGTGGATGTATCTTTTAAATGGAGATGCCAAGTAATAAGTTTGAAGAAAAATATGTTGATTAAATCCTTACATACTTTAGGTGTGCATGAACTTACCAATGTAGTTTTATTGGAGGCCATTTTTATTGCAGACTTGCAGAGCTTTTACTAGAAAAATGCATGACAATTAAAAGGAAGTTTACATTACTCAAAGAAAGGCATCCCAATACAAGCATGGTCCTTGTTCCAACCCCCATGTATTCACTGCATATAACATTTCTAATACGGATTAAATCCAGAACAAAAAGTAGGTTACTACTTTGTCCAGCATAACCCAGTAATGCATCGTTATGCTAGCTAGGATAAATACTACTGACAAAGTGGTATATAGAGTTGAAAAAAACGTTTTTCCCAAGGCCTTCTAAGGCACAGAGATGTTTCTAGGGAAAAGGGGGAGGACCATCAGGGATGCTTATTTCCTTAAACCCAATAGAACAGTTCAGATTTCAGCAGTTAATCGAGGTACACCAAGGCATATTAACTGCGAATCTGGTGGGGAGCAGCTATGTATCTGCGGTGTAAATAACGAGTCACCCATTACTCTTACATCGTAGCAAATGCTTTTAAATAGCAAATATTTATCTTAGAGCAACTGTAACGTTGCCTTCTGATTCTCAAGTTTGCAAGAGTTAAGGTCCTAGAGCAATATTAACGCAGCTAAGCTGTACACACGACACATTTAACCTCCGCAAATGATGCTGAACACAATCTACCCCCCTTTCCGTGTCATTTTTCATACTGGCCACCTTCTTAGGCACATATTCTCCCCCGCCCCACTGCGAACTATAGAACTGTTAGAATTGCCCATACGCCCGGGGCAAGGCGAAAGAGAAAGTCCTTCCTTCAAGGCCAGAAAACCTCTGCCGGCCTCGGCAATCCCGCCCAATTCTCCCCTGACCCGGGAGGTGGGTTTTGGCAGTCCCGCAGGCGGCGGTGGCGTAGGTGAGGTGGGAGAAGGGGCAGGGGCCAGGGCCCCAGCGCCGAGGGGGCTTTGCCTTGTCCCCGTTTGAAAGGCAGGAGAAAACAAACAACAATAATAATAATAATGATGATGATAATAACAAACCCCCC